AAACAGGGTGACTAAATAAGGTCTTGTTTGTGATTCAGGCAGTCAGAGAGAAGCAGGAAGTCAGCGCCATCTTGTAATGGCGACCACACACTGTAGCTCTCCACAGTTGAAAAGGTTAACAACTGCAATCTTCCCTCCATTTATCATGCTGTGGATTATAACAAATTATGGCTAACATTGAGAAGAAAGGGAGTCCCAGAACGCTTAAAAGTGCTCAGGCAAAACCTAGACCTAGACTGAGAAGCTATTGTGCAAACAAGAGGGAAGGAACCCTACCTGGTTTTAAATTATGACAGGCATGTGTCATAGTTGTATTCTTTGTTCATATGTATTCAATCACTGTGTGGAGTGACTCTGAGAAGCTGTACTCTATGAAAAAGAATGTGGCATCAAGACTGGGGGAAGACTCTTCAACAACCCGCATTATGCAGGTAGCAGCATGGTCTTGCTTTCTGAACGTGAGGATGACTTAATGGGATTAGTGCAGAAGATCAAAGACTATAGCCTTCAATCTAGATTACGTCTCAATAACAAAAAAGCAAAAATTGTCACCACTGGATCACTAAGCAACATCAGAAAAGATTGAAATGACAATGATTTTATATTACTTGGATTCACAATCAACACCTTTGATACAAGTAGTCAAGAAATCAAAAGACATAGAGGGTTGTGAAAATTTGTTGTTAGGAACTTCTCCAAAGTGCTCAAGACTGATGATGTCAGTTCATATACTAAAGTACATCTGATCCACATCACAGTGTTTTCAATTACTTACTAGGACTCAAAGATTTACAATGGCTAAGGAAGACGGAAGAATAATTGATGCCTTAAATTGAGTTATGGTGTTGGAGAAGAGTAGTGAATATCCCATGGACTACCAAAAGAACAAACAAGTCTTTCTTGGAGAAGGTGTAAGCAAAGTATCCAGGTGTTCCTTGGAGAAAGGATACTGCAATTTGGTCTCATAGACTTTGGGCATGTTGGTGGAGGAGTCATCCTTGGAGAAGAACATCATATGTGGAAAGGTGGAGAGTCACTATAAGAGTGAAACACCCTCAACAACATGGATTGATTTAATGATTGTAACAATGTATATCAGAGTTGATGAGGATCACACAAGATAAAGCAAAGTGCAGATATGTTGTTCATGGGTTTGCTATGAGGTATAGTTGACTTGATGGCACATAACAACAAAAGTCCTTGATTTTCTGCAGGACGTGTTTCAAGTTCTCTGCACTTTCTGCAACCAAAGTTGTGTCATGTGTCAACACAAGTTATTTAATAAAACTTTCTCCAGTCCTCATATTACAGTCTTTTTTCATATAGCCCACCTTCTCAAATGATTTTTTTCATTATGCAGATGAAGTAGGTATGAAGAAAAGATACAACCCTGACACAAACCTTTCTTGATTTCAGATCATTCAGTGTTTCTATTTTTCTATTTAGGCAAATGCTTCTTCACTATGAGTTCCCCATGGAACAATTAAGTGTTCTAGGATTCTCATTCTTCACAATGGTAGCTATAATTTGCTATGATTCACATAGTTAAATACCTTTGCATAGTCAATAAAACACAAATAAACATCTTTCTGGTATTCTCTGCTTTCAGCCAAGATCCATCAGACATCAGCATTGATAGAGCACATCATATCACGACCTCTTCTAAATCCAGCTTAGATTTCTGGCAGTTCCTTGTGAATACACTCTTCCAGATACTTTTTAATAATTTGCAGCAAGATTTTACTTGCATGAGATAGTAATGATATTGTCTGATAATGTCCATATTCTGTTGGATCACCATGTGTTGAAATAGGAATAAATACAGATTTCCTCCAGTCAGTTGGCCAGTTAGCTGTCTTCCAAATTCCTTGACCTAGGGTTGCATTTATTTCCTTTACCACATCAATTGTTATCCCGTTATTTCCTGGGACCTATTTTGTCAATATCTTCAGTGTATCTTGGACTGCCTGAAATGATTCTGTGTCAACCAATTCTTTTCGGTGCAGTGATTCTGTGGTTCCATCTTCTTTTGATGTTTCCTGCATAAATTCAATATTTTCCCCCATAGAATCTTTCCGTACTGTAACTTGAGGCTTGAATTTGTTGTTCTTCAGTTCTTTTTGTTTAGGAAATGCCAAGCATGTCCTTCCTTTTGGTGATCTGACTCCAACTCTTTGCACATTTTGTTATAGTACTTTCCTTTGTCTTCTCAAGATGGCCTTTGGTATTTGTTAATCTCTTTTTCTTCAGCATTTCTCCATTTTTTTGTTGTTGTTTCTGTGTTCTAGGGCATGGTGCTCTGGTGATGTAATTGGTAAGAAGCTGCATGGCACTCCCAGAGATACAAGGTTAGAATCCACTATGGGAGAAGAATGGGCAATCTCCTTCCATGCGATTAACTGCCTCTGAAAACCTGCTAGAGGATCAGCTATGAATCGACTCTGACTCAATGGCACACAACAGGAGCAACAAAAAAGTTCTGGTGCCATTTTCAGAGTCTCTCCTGACTTGAATTGTGTTCTTTGCTTTATCCTCTGTCTTTGTAATGTTCATTTTCTTTCTTCATGAATGGTATCCCACAACACACCTTGTCTTTGTTGGTGTTCAGTACATCAAAACTATTATTGAGATGGTTTTTAAATTCAGGTTGACAGACTCAAGGTTGTATTTTGGGTCTTATGGACTTGTTTTAATTTTTTTTTTTTTTGCTTCAGTTTGAATTTGGACATGAGTAACTAATGATCTATTCTATAATCGGCCCTTGGCCTTGTTTTTAGTGCTGACATTGACCTTTTCCAGTGACTGTTATTTTCTGCGGATGTAGTCAATCTGACTCCTCTGTAGTCCATCAGGTGAGGTCCATGTTTTCATGGTCACTGTTCTATTTTTTTTTTAAAGTTACTTGCAATGAAAAATTGTTGACTTTACAAAATTATATCATTTAGTCTCTAGCCTCATTTCTGTCTCTGAGGGAGATAGGTGGGTAATCTTTTAATGGGCCATTACAGCCTCTGAAACCCAATAGAGGTTTAACTATTAATTGATTCTAACTCAAAGGTAAAGAGAATGAGAAAATTAATGTTACTTTTAAAGGTTTAAAGGATATATTTTGGTTCTAGGGTTAAATATCATCTCAGAGCACTAGTTTTAGAAATTCATCCAGCTTCAGTGGTTTCAGAAATTCTTGCTTCTCATTTTCAGTGAGAATTGAAATTCCATTTTGCCTTTCTTGTTTTGATTATCACTGTTCTTTAGAATCTTTGCTCAAAATGCCTAGTGATGCATAGCCAGGCACCTTGTAGTTGCTTTTGGTGAAGGACCAGTAGCAACTAGGGTGAAAATCTGAGAAAGACACGATGCAACAAATGATGAATTATTTTAACCTTTCATGCCTCCTAAATGCCAGACTGAAACAAAAGCAACTTTCTTGTAGGCATATTCAGATGAAGTTCCTGGCAGAGAGTTCAACATATTCACTCATAAAAATGTTGCCCTCAAGTCAGAACCAACTCATAAGTGACCTTGCAGTGGATTTTTGGAAGATTGTACATCACATGGAAGAAAAAATGCCCTCCTTCCTTCTGAGGAGTCACTGGTAGATTTGAACCAAGAACTAGCACTTTTGAGTTAGCAGTGTGACTCTCAAAAGAATATGCCATCAGAGCTCCCTGTAATCATACAGCAGACCATATAGCAGTCCTTTCATTAGTGGTAACTTCTTTCTCCCTGATGTTTTTAATTTTGTAGGCCTCTTTGTCTTCTGTGATAATTTGTGGCCCTGAGAGTAACTGCTTTATATTTAAGAAATGCTATGATTCCTAAACCTTGCTAAACTGGTGAAGGAAATTATATTAGTAGCTGTCTAAAAAGAAGAAACTGTACATAGGGCCACAGGGCCATGAACATCTCTCTGAAAGGGCCAAAGAGAATAAGAATGGCCCAGCCCCTCTCTTACCCAGAGCAGAAAGCAGATAAAGAATCCATAGCCCAGCCCTATGGTGCCTGTGGAGCCCCCAAAACAACAAAAGTTTCTTTTATTCATTGCTGACTCATAGACTCAAAGTTGTGGTACCAAGAATGGGGTTTATTAGAGAAGTAAGTGGGAGAATGTGAGAGTCAAAGAATATAGCCTAGTACAAATCCAAGTTTTAGCCAAACAATCACAAGGCACATTTCCTCAATAAGTCCAGGCTCAGTTTCAGTTCAGCAGTCAAATCCAACTCATCCAGCAAAGTTTGCACCAGAGCAGTTATAAGTCAGCTTCTCCTTCAAACATCCAGGAAAAAACAGCCAAACCTGTAACCGTGGCTAGCACAAATGCAGGAAACCTCAGGTCACAGTTTCTACACAGCAATGCCACAGGCTCTCCACCATGAGGGTCTTGCTCTCACCAGGATCTTGCTGCCACAAGCCTTCCTCCCCTCAAGTCCTACTCCTTCAGGCTTTGCTCATCTCAAGTCTTACTGCTTAGTGTGGGGAGCACTCTTTCTCTTATCTGAGTCCCACAGCTTTTGGTGACTTGCAAGACCATACTAATTTGCAAGATCATGTACCTGCAATTAAGGTAGCTGGAGAACAGAGGGGACTAGCTAATGGCTTTTAAAAAAGCCAACTTTTAGGCTAACATCATAGTGGCATATACTATCATTTTCTTGAGGTCTTAATTTCTGAACTCACCACACAGAAGAGAGACTTGGATTTGAGAGTACACAAAATATTCTTGACTCTGAATCTCTGTGACTTAGTCTGTAGGGAGCTGCACTGCTAATACAAAGACAACACTTCTCTAATGGTTCAAATCCATCAGTGGCTTCTTGGGAGAAAGATTGACAATGTCTTCCCGTGAAGTCTACAACTTAAGAAACCCACTGGAGGGTCACATTTGAGTTGGTTGTGACTTGACGGAAATGAGTTTTGGAGTTATGGTAAGATGGTGCCTAGAGACGGTGTCTACTACTCATTCTTTGCAAAGTGAACAACATTGTTATGTTTTCTTCCAGGTGGAGAGGTCACCAAACCCCGATTTGCTCAATTCTTTCATGGTAACCTGGCCAGTCTCACCATACGCCCTGGCAAAATAGAGAGTCAGAAGGTGATATCTTGCCTACAGGCCTGCAAAGAAGGGCTGGATATTAATTCCTTGGAAAGTCTTGGCCAAGGAATAAAGGTAAGGAAGAAGCTGACTTCATCCCTGATATAATGAAACATTGATTTGTAATAAAGGCCGAGGCTGCCCAGCACCAGTCTGCTCCAGAAATGTAGTAATTTCCTATAAGGTTCCACTGTCCTGATGATATGGGAGCTTTGGTGGACTAGTGGTAAGAAGCTGGGCTACAATCCCAAACACATGGGTTCAAATCCACCAGCAGTTTTGCAATAGTCTCCCATGCAATTAACCGCCTCTGAAAACTTGTTGAAGGGTTGGCAATGGGTCAGTTCCAACTCAGTAGCACACAATAACACAATCCTTGTGATATGGTTTCAAATAGCCACAACTTAAAAATTCAAAACTATTGCTGTTGTTCATAGAGAGAGATCAGTTTGCCTAGTAGACAGAAGGTGATGCTACCAAGCCAAAGGTGGGTGACTTTTAATCTGCAGCCCTCAGGCCTGTTTTTCACTGCTTTTGGTTTTTTTTTTCAAACATTCTTCTAGGACACAGAGTCCTAGTGTGTCCACTTGCCATACAGAGGTAACTTGTGGTTGCTGTGAAGCTGAACACTGTGACACTGATGTGTCAAATGCGATAATGGTTACCAATGATGGACAGTGTTTGGTGGAGCTCCCCGATTAAAACAAGCTTGGAAGCACGAATGGCATCCACTTCCAAAAGAGCTTGCCTCCAGAAACCCTATGAACTTGGAGAAAGGATGAAAGTCACACAACTGTTGAGGACTTTCATTCATAGGGTCACTATGAGTTGCCTATGACTCAACAGGACTAAATAACAACAACATTGCTGTTGTTAAGTGCCATCAAGTCAACTATGACTCATAGTCATCCTATGAACAATTAATGTAAACCTTGCCATTTCCTGTACCATCTTCATCATCTCTGATATTATGGTGCCCGTTGTTACAATCATTGCACCAAACCATCTAGTTGAGGATCTTCCTCTCTAATATACCCCGAGGAGTACATTAGCCCAAACAGAAGTTTGCAATGCAGTGTGATAACTTCTGTGAGAATTATGTGCACTGAAGCTTCCTGAACAGCAGGCGCTAACCACTCGAAATGCTTGAAGGAGTTAACCTCTTACCCACACCGGCGCTATGTTGAAGATGCCAAGAGTATTCCCATTTGCACATTAAGAATTGATTACAGGAGGAGAAAGCAACTTACCTAAGATCTCAGAGTTCATAACAAGCAAGCTAGAATCTGAAGACAGATAGAATCGTAACAGAGTTTCAGACCTGGGAGGGAGGCAATCAGCGAAGCCTCTTTGCAGGAGGTGCAGTCCAAGTGGAATGCTTGAAAGTAGGTAAAAGTCAGCCAGAAAAAAAGGCAGGGAAAATGAGGATGAAGAGAAAAGGAGTTACCACAAGCAGACTTTGAGCCACATCACAGGACTGGGGAATAATAACAGTGCCTACCTGTCCAGTATCTGGGGGTAGAAACTGCAAAAAGAAAAGGGGTAAGAGTGACCAGATACTAGGTAGTAGTCACACAACTAGGATCTTGTTCACCATGTCTGCTGTTTATATTTTTCTTTTTTATGTAACAGATTTATTGAGGTATACTTAACATACCATACTGTTCACCCATTTAAAGAGCACAATTAATTTATTTTTAGAGTATCCACAGTTGTTGTTGTTAGGTTCCCTTGAGTCATAGTCGACTCATAACGACCTTATGAATGAAAGGCCTGAGTACTGTTTATAGAGTTTCCAGAGGCAAGCTGTTTCAGAAGTGGATGCCGGGCGAGCTCTGGTGGCCTAGTGGCAGGAAACTGCACTGCAATCCCAGAGGTGCACGGTTCAAATCCACCAGATGCTCTGCTGAAGGAGGAGGAACAATCGCCTCCTGTACCAGTCAGATCCAATTTGACGGTACACACATAAAA